ATTTTCCTAATTAATGCTGTTCAGTTGCTTTGACACAATCTGTATTGTTAAAAGCGCTATATAAATAAAGGTGACTTGACTTGACTTGACTTGACTGATATATCGATGTCTCAGCGTCTCCTCTCTCATCTCAAAATTTCACATAGGCCTCTCTGCATTACACTTGGCACATACTCCTGCTGACACGTTTAATGCAAGGTTCTTACTATCCAAATTTAATATTTTTTAATTGTTTTAGGGTTATAGTTGACTGTGTTCTGTCCAAAACTGCATTAATAACCTTCCTGAACAAGAAGCCAAAACTCATTACAACTGGCATAAATTCTGGTTTGTATATTTCAAGGGTCCCACACTTTAAGGTCACTATTACAGTATGTCATTTTACTAAGAGAACTGACTTCCTGGAACGAGATCTTGGTCAGTGTCCTGGGCCTCAAAGGGTCTAGTCTTGGTCTGGAAGTCTGCTATTAGTCTGTGTTAGGGAATTATGAGATATGGGTCTTGGAAAGTCTGTTTTTGAATCGTTCAAATCGTCGAGTTAGTAACTTGTTTAGCAGCTAACTTCAGAACTGATCCAGAGTGTCTGATTGTTACTCAGTTTACCTGGGCACAGCAGCACAGCTCTCTGGATTGTTTTCAGAGCGTTGCGTCTTTTGTCCTCACCAGAGTGCCGGCCTGAGGCCAGTTGATTCACTCCACTGTACAGCAACGCCCTCTGGACATTGAAAGGTCTAAAGGAATAAAGAGAAGCATTTAATTTAATTAAAGTCCTCAATTCCCTACTCAACAAGACATAACGAATATTCAATAAGTGAAGAGTCCGGGCTTCAGCTGATCAGCAACAACTAAAAGTCTATTTTGATCTCAATCTGGCTCCAAGCTATTTTTCTGCAACAACTAGCCATTTTATAATATAATATAATATAATATAAATGTTGGTGTCAGTAAGATTTGTAATGTTTTTTAAATAAGTCTCTTATGCTCACTAAGGCTGCATTTATTTGGTCAAAAATACAGTAAAAACAGTAATATTGTGAAATACTATTACAATTTAAAATAACTTTTTTCTATTTACATATATCTTAAAATGTAATTTATTCCTGCGATACCAAAGCTCAATATTCAGCAGTCATTCCAAATCATTTTAGTATGGCTGATTAGCTGCTCAAGAAACATTTATTATTATTGTCAATATTGAAAAGTTTCGCTGCTTCATTTTTTATTTTTATTTTTTATAAACCATGCTACATTTTTCACGATTCTTTCATGAACAGGAAGTTCACTTTTGATAAATTTAATGTGTCCTTTGATGTATGAAAGTATTAATTTAATAATATAAAGACAGTAATATAATTCCCTTATTTTTCAGGAGGGAATCATGATGAAAGATGCTATGCAACAAAATTACAGGTAATCAGACATATCTGATATCTTAAAATGAATCGTACTTAATATAATATGTACTTTTGCTTTAAAATACTAATATACTATATAATAGATATGTGAAGAAAGATTTTTGGACAATGATAATTTATAGTATTGTTTGTTGCATTTTGTTAAAACAAAAACTCAGATTAAGCAAAAGAAATAGATTCTTGTTGTTTTATCACGTTGTATCAAATTAGGAGACACCGTATCTCTAAATATTATAAATTACCTGTGTATAGCCCTAGCAGCCTCCCTGTGTACGCCACTATAGTTGCCCTGCAGGGCCAGCAGGGTGCAAGTGAGCAGACAGTGCTCCTCCACAGCGCCTCCTACACGTTCCCCCAGTTTTAGCAGCTCAGTAAGCGTAGCACTTGCTAGGGTCACATCCCCATGAACCAAACCCAGAGAACACAGACACTGCAGACTCTCTGAGACAGGCTCTTTCAGCATGGAGCTACACACACACAAACATAAACAAGAGGAGAAAGGCTTTGCTTTTGATGGCTAAAGCAGAAAACGTGTTGCTCTGAGACAGTTGAGTCATTATGTTACCACTTGAAGAGAAGAGTTTTGGCATGATCAATGTTGCCCAGCCTGTGCTGTATCAGGGCCAGTGCAGTGAGTATACAGGCCTTTTCCTTCTCACTAGAGGCAACTGCGAGGGCTTTCTCATAGGCTGGAAATAGGCACACAAACACCCTCAGAAACATACACACTCACAAGCTTGAGTACTTTCAGAAGGCACTGATTGTAACAGTCAACAATCGCGAAATGGCAATGATTGCTCACCCTGAACACTTTCTGGCATGCGACCGATTCTGAAATAGGCAAGCGCCAGCCCAATGAGATCATGCAGCTCCTCTAGTGGTGTCGAGGAATAAATATGCACTGCTTCTTCCCACTGTCCATCATCACTGAGAGCAACATAAGAAAAAAACATTATTTCGCACTAATAAATCTAATAGCATTGCTATAGATGAAATGACTGATGGCATAGTTGTACGAAGTGAGTTTTACCTGAGTGCACGTCCATAACCCCTCAGAGCAAAGCTGAGCTTATCTGTGTGAGGGGATGCCTGAAGCAACTCGACAGCTCTTTGGAGAACAGAATATATCCAAGAATGATTTAATACCAGTGTGGTCCAGATCAGTGTCAGAAACTTTCAGCAGTAAATATTAGGCATAAATTTTTTAATAAATATGAACTATATATATATTTTTTTTTATAAATCATAAAAAAAGTTTCATGTCAAATATTTAAAAAAAAACATTAAAATATTTAAAA